ATCTTTCCAGACTGATTTCATATCACTTCCCATTATGCAGTCTATGTTACAACCAAACTAGTCTACTTTGCTGTAAAAGAAAACATATGTGCATACATAACATTCTGCCTGCTATCTCTGTGCTTTGCATAGGCTGTCCTTCATGTCCTTCAGTCCATCTTGTGGAATCCCTGTCTTAATTTATAAGCTTGACTCTATAATGACCTATAACATGAGGTACTTAATAGTTTCCACTATTGTTAGCAACATTCCTCCCAAATTATATTGTCTTACTTTGCATCTGTTCATATTATTGTTTTCTGTATGGAATATCCAGACATCTCCACAACAATGTAGACAATTCAAGGGCAAGAATGCTTTTCATACCATCTTTGTATCCCTTGTGCTGAGAACATTTGAAGTACCAAATAAATGCTTAAGATCTGTACTCATACCTGATTGTGTAACCTTGGCCAAGTCACATAACTTCTCAGTACCCCAGGAAACCTCTCCAGTGTAAGATATTACAAAGCAGCTGACGATCTGCTTTACTAGAGGAGTTTCCTCACATGAAGTTCCTTACATTACTGAAATCATCATTCTTACCTCCTTTCCTTCCCACCAAAATGGATTCAATAACTGCCTTTTCAAGGTTTTATTCAAAAGTCACAAAGCATTTTGCATATGTGATCTCATTTAATCTTCACAACCAGCCCTAGGAGGTAACTTTTATTATTAGCCTCATTTTACAGAGGCACGAAGCAGTGAGGTAGCACAGTGGCTACAGCACTGGGCCCGGAGTCAGGAAGACCTGAGTTCAAATCTAGCCTCAGATACTTATAGCCGGCTAAACCTGGGCAAGTCACTTAACCCCTGCCTACTTCAGTTTCTTCAACTATAAAATGGGGATAATAACAGCACTTACCTCCCAGTGTTGTTGTGAGGATAAAATAAGATAAAATTTGTAAAAGTACTTATCACAGTGTTTGACACATAGTAGGTGCTATAAAAATGGTAACTTCTTCTTATCATTATTATTTGAGGAAACTGAGGCTGAGAGGCCTTAAGTGACTTGCCCAGGGTCACACACCTAGTATCTGAAGCAAGATTTGAGCTCTGGTTTTTCTGGCTCTCTATTCACTGTGCCACTGTCATATAAGGTGGGACTATATCTTAAAATATGCATCTACACACACACAAATGCATAGATAATTATATGAGCTATCTATTGAAAAATTTTCATAGTGCAAATTAAAGAATACTTGTTTTGCTTTATTTTTTTCTTTTTATTGATTTTTTTTGCAACATGGCTAATATGGAAATATGTTTTGCATAACTTCACTTGTGTAACTGATATATTGCTTGCCTTCTCAATGGGTGGGAGAGACGTACAAGGGAGAGAGAGAATTTGGAAATCAAAATTTTTAAAAGAATGAATATTAAAAATAAAAAAAATACTATGCGAGACAAAAAAGGGAAGATTTTCATAGTGGAATTCTATGTAACAGCAAAAAATTAGTAATATCTTAAGAGCTCTCAATTTGTAATAAGAACAATAGTGTTTGAAACCTGGCTCTGATACTTACTGCCAAGGTGACCTTAAGTAACTTAACTTCTCTGGGTGTCAGTTTCATCATCTGAAAATGAGGGAGATGGACTTGATGACTCTAAGTTCCCTTTCTGGAACTAAATCTGTGATCCTGTAAGTAATGTGAGGGAATACAGTAATGAAATTAAACTGGACAAGTCTGAGGAATATTGAGAACTCTGGAAAGACTTTTATGAAGTACAATGTAGAACAAGAATGGAATATACACAATGATTGCCGTGATTATGTGAGGAAAAGTGAGTGAGGATGCAAGGACAAAGAATCCTAATGCAGATGTGAAGAGATAGAAAAAGAGTTGTGAAATGTCATGTTTTTAAGGTAATTTAAATGTCAATAAGTTGCTAGAATGACAGATTTAGAGCTAGAAGAGTTCTTAGAGGTTATCTAATCCAATGCCCTCGTTTTACTTTCATATGAATGAGATATTAATTATATTTCTAAGATTCAACAAAAAATGAAAAGAAAATAAGCATGATAAGTATTTTCTACCCAGTAGAGGACAGAACCTGAACAAGTAGCACCTTTTCCGGTCTCCTTCCAGCTCCTGGATCATTGGGTATGTTTTCTTTTCACAGGTGATTTGGAAATGTGTGGGCTCTGAATAGAATGGATGGTTTGCTTGGGGTCGATTGCTACCAAATGCCAGGATGAAAACTGAGTCCAAAGAATTGCTGCAGCTCAACAAGTTCACAATTCAAGCAGCACACAACTGTATAAGACAACACAATGTAATGGAAGGAATGCTGGGTTTGGGTCAGAAGATCTGGATTTTATTCCTAGATCTTCTACTTAGTACTTGTAGGACTCTGGACAAGATTTGCTGTTTTTAGGATTCAATTTTCTCATCTATAAAATGAGAGGACAGGACTAAATTATTAGTAAGGTTCTTTTCTTTTACAAAATCCTATGAGAGCTGCCCTGGTCTAAAAATGCTTCCTCTTTTTATCCATATGTTCATATGCTGAATGGAAAGAGGATTAAATTTGGGGGAACTGGGTTGCAATCCTGGCTTACATACTTCCTGTGTGACCCTGAACAAATCACTCAACTTCTCTGGGTCACAGTTTCCTAATCTGTTAAATGAGGAGATTGGACTAGATGATCTTTCTAGTTTTAAATGCTGTGATCTGTTATATTAACTATCATCACCAAAATCATCAAAGCGATAACTATCTATATGTCTTGTCTTAAAAATCAAATAAATCATAGCCAGAACAACAACAACAAAAATCCTATGAGCTCTTCTTTCAATGGAAAGTCACTGGCAGAGGACCCAAGAAATAACCTTCGCAGTAGCAAGACTCATCAGAATCAAATGAACAAGCCCCATAACCTCCTGGGGCCTCTACTAAAAGGAGGTGGCTCTGAGATTCCTTCTAGCTCTAGCTCTATGATGATATGATCATACAAACTGTGTTAGAACTTTCTTTTTTTAAAAGCATTGCCTAAAATCCTCATGAAAGACAAAATTTAGCTCTAATATTAAAAAGTTTTACCATGTACTTAGTTTATGGCCTTTGAAATTCCTTTGTCTGATCATAATCTACCATCATCCCATCTTTTCCTCTGCCTGGGAACCTCTAATCCTGTTCTTCGTCCTTGCTGTAGGCTCCCAACACTTCACACTCTCATTTTTTCCCACAGGATCACCTCTGCACTAGCTATATGCCCATCCTTTCCACATACTGACCCACTGGTGAACCAGCTTAACTCTATACTCTCCTCTTTTCTCAAGTCACTCTTATCTTACTGCCAATCTTGCTCTGGCACCCCCTCAAGATGGGATCAATTTCACTATATGCTGCCTTTACTCCTGAACTTGCATGCTAGTGAATGAAGTGGATAAAATCACAAAACCATATTGACAACAAATTTGTTATGTAATTAAAACTGGGCACTCACTGTGACAAGGCAATTTTTATAACTCCCTAATCAATTCACTATCAGCACAGCAGCTTTTCCAAACCTTTTTATCATTCTTCAAATATCCCATGGGTCTCCCACCCCCTACCCTAGCAGCTAAGGACTTTGCATCATATTTCACTGAAAAAAAATTGAGGTCATTCATCAAGAGCTCCCTCTTCTTCCCTCCTCATCTCACATCACTCAGACCTTCCCCCACCCCAATCTTCTCTATCACCTGTCTCACATGAAAAGATGACACTTCTCTTTGACAAGGCAAAAACTCTCTACATTCACAAGTGATCCTATGCCATCCTCTCTTCTCCATCAAAATACCCTATCATACTCACTCTGACACTAATCTTCAATCTACCTGACTGCTTCCCTATTGCCTACAAACAGTTCCATTTCTCCTCCATCATCAGAAATCTTTCCCTTGATATATTCTTCACTGATATAGTCCTATATTTTTCTCCCTTTCATAACTAAACTCTTTTAAAAGGCTTACAATTGATATTTCTATCTTTTCACTCTCTGCTTAACTTTCTGCAGCCTAGCCTCCAACCTCATCATTTAACTGAAACTGCACTTTCCAAAGTTATCAATGATATAATTGCCAAATCTACTGGTCTTTTTCACAATCCTTATCCTTCCTGACCATTCTGCAATCTCAGACATTGTTGATCACTCCCTTCTTGATATTCTCTTCTATCTAGATATTTACATTACTGTTCACTCTTACTTGTCCTCTTACCTATCTGACTACTCCTTTGCAGTATTTTCATCCAAACTGCCACCGTTAATGATAGATGTTCTCACGATTCAGTCCTGGACGCTCTTCTTCTCATCTCCCTCTACTCTGCACTCCATTAATTCCGGCCTCTTTGTTGTTCACTGAATAAGACCCTCCATCTCCTGACTTGATGCATTTACATTAGCTGTTCCCTGCATGCCTGGAATTCTCTCCCTCCTCTTTTCCACTTTTTTTCTTTCCTGGCTTTCTTCAAGCTTAAGTCACATATTCTGCCACAAAAACTTTGCTATTCCTCCTTAATGCTAATGTCTTCCTTCTGAGATAAACATCAGCTTATACATCTTATTTGTGCCTAATTATTTTCATGTTGTCCCTCCCATTAGATTATGAGCTCCCTGAAAATAGGGACTGTTTTTCCCTTTCTTTGTATCCCTAGGGCTTAGCATATTGCCTGTCACATAGTAGGGATTTAATAAATGACTGCTGTCTTAGGAAATTAGAGCACTTATGGCAAAATTTGCAATGTTTCTATTTTTTTTTCTTAATTTTTCTGTGCCATAAGGAAAGAAACAGATTTGGAAAACTAGAATACATTTTCTTTTCTAACTCTAAAAATCATAACAATTTGCTGTTCAAAGGAAAAAAGCAAACACATCAATGTTATACTTCAGAAAGACTCACACACAATGAAATATCTAGTAAATGATGGAAGATTTACTCATGTTGGGCTCAACCCAAGAATGCAGAAATACTTACGCAGAAACAATTTCCTCCCCACTCACAAACTTTGCATAGGAAACCGCCTTTCGATGTCCTTTGAACACCATGATGGGCTGTTTAGTGTTGCGAAGATCATAGTAATGGACACAGTGATCTATAGGGGAAAAAAAAGGTACAAAGAGAAATACAATGAACGGAGAAAACAGAAGTCTAGTAGCTTTTGCCACATGGTATTGATACTTCATGGCCAAAAACTATTACAAATTATGCTAAACTAGTAACAGTGCAATGTTATGAAGACTTGATTCATTTACGATGACCAAAAAAAAAAGAGTCAATTTTTTTTTTGCATCATTCCTAGGAAGTGATATTTGAACAAAAACACACCAAAATCATAAAAAAGTTAAAATAACATAAACCATATATGCCTGAAAAGAAACTGCACTGGAATTTGACATAGATTGTTAAGGGAAAAAACTGTCACTTTAATCTTAAATGGATTTTAGTATTACACATGCTATCACTAACTTCTGAATGAAAAATATTTCAGTTAAAGTTAAGTATTATATTTTCTAGATACCTTCTATAAACTATTTCATCCATTTTCAATAATGCCAGAACTATATGACTTTGATCAAAACTGCCAGTAAATTAAATTTTTTAGGCAATTCTCATTCTAGATCCCAAACTCCCTACGCTTTCTTTTCAATCCAGAACGGTTAATCAAGAACCGAGTATTCTTTTGCTATCAGTTTTTAACATTACATTCATTTTGGGACTCTAGCTATTACAGGAAAAAAAAAGGAATGAACTCCGATAATGTTCAAGGTAGATGGGAACCTAGAGATGGGTTAAAGTAGTTACTTTTTAAAAAACAGGGGGCAGCTGGGTGGTGCAGCAGATAGAGCACTGGCTCTTGAGTCAGGAGTACCTGAGTTCAAATCCATCCTGACACATAACACTCACTAGCTGTGTGACTCTGGGCAAGTCACTTAACCCCAATTGCAGACGGACAGATGGAAGGAAGGAAGGAAGGAAGGAAAGAATAGAGGCTAATCTAAAATACAAAATTAGGTAGTTTGACTCCCCCCATCCCTCACCCCTGTTGTATTTCCTCTTTCCTAAATAACAATGGCACCAAACCCCCCTCAAAATTTTAAACAATCGAGGAGGTAATGTCTAAGTTAATGAAAAGACTAAAAATATTCAGCAAACATCAAAATCAACACTACCTTATAGAGTTATATAAGTACACTGGATATTAATAAATATCTAACATACTATGAATAAGACAAAAAAATGATTATACAACAGATAGTAAAAATGTGTGATTCTAAACAGATGCAATAGAAATACTCATTCCATTCAATGTTAAGGTTATTTTTTGTTGTCCCCCCCCCCATAAAAGCTACTCTGGAAAGCAAAATAATTTTTTGCTAGATGAGGTTTCTTAAAGAATATAAAGTAGATTTCAATTTCAAACAGGGGAAACTGAGGAGTTTTATAAATGCAAAACAGTTTTATATTTAAAGAAAAAGTATGGATATAAAACTGAAATAAAAGAACAAATCAAGCAAAGAAATTTCCATAACTGGGAAAAGAAAGAGACCATCCTAGGTAGAGAGGATTCTCATGAAACAAAGTAAGTATAATTAAAAAAATTTTTTTGGCATGTTTTATTTATAGTGTAGCTTTATTAGTTGCTTGAGGCTACTCAAGACTCGGATCTGCTAGGCAGAGCTAGAGCATTCCCTAAGTCAAACATTGAGTAACTTACCTTATCTAGACATAAGTTTACATATCAGTAAAATGAGGTTATCTTTATGGATGGATTCTATTGGCTCTAAATACTGCTCCCCATGTTTTATTGTCTCTTAATATGGCATTATGTACATAGGAAAGATTTTTGTCCACTTTACTTTTTTGAAAAAAAAAACAGCATTATCCTGTCTCTTTTGAAAGATATACAGAAAATATACTACTTTCTATTGTCAGTACAACAAAAATAAGTACTAGTAAAGTCTAACAAAGTTCTTCTGTTTGGGCTCAAATCTAGTAAATACTGTAAATCTTTCTTAGTCTCCATGGCCAAGAATATCAATGAATAATCAAGTGAAAACTAACTGATAAATGTTCTCCAAAAGATATTTAAACAATTTCAGTATACCTAAAGTTATTTAAGAATATACTAATGTCATAATTTTGAAAGGATAGACAGATATTTCTTTAAATCTCTAAGTCATGAACATTTGCTTATCTAGATATGATTCTCTCCAAGAAATGGATTACCTTTTGGATCTATGAATATGAAAAGAGTTCATGAACAAATAAGGGATAGAAAAGATCACAGAAGATAAAATCAATAATTTTCATTATATAAAAATTTTAAATGTTTACACCAACAAAAATGATGCAATTAACATCAGAAGGGAAATATGTAACAGGGTAAAAAAAAAACCTTTGAAGCAAGTTTCTATGATAAAGATCTTGGATCCAAGATATGTAAGAAATTGATTCAAATTTATTAGAATTTGAACCAAAACAAAGTTGATGCCAATCAACTGGAGGCTAGATAAAGTTGCACATGAAATAAAATGAATACTACTGCGCTGTGATAATGAATACACTGAACATAGAGAAACACAGAAAGATTTACATGAATTGCTACAAAGTAAGCAGAGCCAAGAAAATAACATATACAATGTCTACAACGTACAAGTAAAGAACGACCACCGCAGAACACGCCAAAGTGAATTCTGAGCAAGAACAGAGGCAGAGCCAAGATGGCAAAGTAAAGGCAGGGATTCACCTGAGCTATCATGAATTCCCCTCACAACAACTTTAAAATAACTCCTGAAAAAGAATTCTGGAGCAGTAGAAGCAACAAAAGGTTAGGGTGAAAGTTTTCTTGCCCAGGTAGGCAGGAAACTTCATCCATCTCACAGGAGTGTAAGTGCGGTATAGCGCAGGTTGCCCTCACCCCCACGAGCCAGCAGCAGGCCTTGGGGCTGGCTGCAATGGGGGCTTCCAGAACTCTCAGCCCACAAATGCTTAAGCCAGTCAGACAACAACAACCCCCCCCCCAAATTACCAAGAATAAGCACAGATCCAAAGAATACATGAGAAGACATCTCAGACTCCAGTTCTTTGCAAAAGCGAGAGACTGTTATGTATGGAACACTACATACCATATATTTTCAGACTTTTGCCATGCACTGATAATTTTTGCTGTTCTTTTTTCTCTTTTATATGAGATGACTCTCTCGGATTGCAGAGGGAGAGTGATATTAGGAGAAATTTTAGTGATGGAAAAAAAGTCATAAATAATTTATTTTTTTTAAATGCAAGGAAAAAAGAACCATTCCCCTATAGATAACTTGCCAAAGGCTATGAACAGGCAGTTTTCAAAAGGACAAATCCAAGCTAACAACAATCAAAAGGGGAAAAAAAATGCTCCAATACACACACACACAGACACACAGACACACAGACACACACACACACACACACACACACACACACACACACACACCCCTCTTAAATTCTACTTCCCACTAATGTGATTGGTAAAAATGACAGAAAAGGAAAATGACAAATGTGAGACAGAGAACAGAGGCATACTACTACTATTGGTGAGGTTGTGAACTGTCCAGCATTCTCAGTCAAGTATTTATTGTGGACTAAGTGCCAGGCACTGTGCTAAGAGCAGAGCATAATAACAAAGCCAAAATTAGTACCTACTCTCATAGAGCTCACAGGCTAATGGGGAGATAATATGCAAACAACTGCATATCTATTCATTTTAGGGATAATTTCACATGGAAGATACTAGCAGAGGGATAACAAACAAAAAGTCATGGGGAACTGGGGAATGATCCTTTGTAAAGATGAGATTTGAGCTAGGTTTTAAAGGAAGTCAAGGAAATGAGGAGGCTGAGAAGAGGATGAAGAGAATTTCAAATAAAGGGACAGCTAGTGAAATAAGGAGATGGAGAGAGGCTAGAGTCACTTGATCACACAGTATTTGGAGTGGAATAAGGTCTAAGAAGACTGGAAAGTTAGGAAGGGACCAGGTTATTAAAGATTTTAAACATCAAACAAGACAATTTTATATTTGATCCTGGAGATCAAAGGGGTAAACTGAACTTTAGTGAATAGGGGAGTGCTACAGTCAGATTTGTGCTTTAGGAAAATCCCTTTGGCAGCTGAATGGATAGGGATAGGGAGAGATTTGAGGCATAGAGACTGACCAGCAAGCTACTGCATTGGTCCAGACACGAGGTGATAAAGCCCTGCACAAGGGTTCAGAGGAGAGAATAGGGGATATACAAGAGACAAAAAGCAAGATTTTAACTTGGCAAGGGATCAGATATGTGGGGTGAGTACAAGTGAGGAGTTGAGAATAACAACTAGATTGTGAACCTGGTTAACTGGAAGGATGGTGGTACTTGAAACAGCAACAGGCACATCTGGAAAAAGCAAGGGTTTAGGAAGAAAGATGAGTTCTATTTTGAACTTTCTGAGTTTAAGATGTCTCCACAATACCCTAGTTAAGATCCTGCAGAGGATTTTGCAACAGTGAACCAAAAGTCACTAAAATGGCATGGCCTTACTCCTTAAACCACTACAATCACTATTTATGAATATATATATATATATATATATATATATATATATATATATATATATATATGTCAACATATTTACGATATCAATATATCAGCCAGTATTTTTAACTGTTTATTATGTACTAAGCACTGTGCTGAGCAAAGACCTAGAAACTAAGGGGGTGTCCATCATTAGGAAATGGTAAAACAAATTATGATATATGAATGTAATGGAATGCTACTGTACAATAAGAAATTACTAAATGGACAGTTTCAAAGAAAACTGGAAAAGCTTTTATGATTTTTTTCCAGAGTGAACCAGGAGAACAAGTTATAAAATTACAATCAGAATGAAAATAGCTTTGAAAGACTTAGGAACAATCAATGCCATGACAAAACATGATACCCATGGACTGAAGATGAAGCATATGACGACCCACATCTTGATTGAAAGGTGATGGACTCAAAATACACCGAGACATATTTTTGGACATGGCTAAAGAGGGAATCTGCTTTGCTGGACTGCATATTGGCTACTTTTAAAAAT